GAAGGATCGACTTCAAAACAACATTTTTTAGGGTTGTGTGGTAAGAAGGCTTTTATTTGTGGAAAATCCTTTTGATTTGCTATCACTACCTTTCGAGATTGATGTTCATTCAAAGATTGAGTTGAAGACTAGGGATCCCAACTTGTGTCAAGTCCCTAGATCAAGCTTGATATCCATAACTATAAGGATCTTCAGTCCTTCTCAGCGGACTGGATGATAACTACGCAGTCGGCATGCTTTCGGGGCATGACAGAAGACCTACTGGTTCATTTACAACGGGAAGTCGTTCAGTTAATTGAGGCCTGAGAGTGTTGTAGTGTGTATACGTCTGCTCGTTAATGCCTTCCCGGCAGCCCCGACGACATCAACGTCCATACATGTTGGATCGCCTTCATGCAGTACGCCTGCAGTTTAGTAAACAGAGTATGCTGTTTAGAATCGAAAGAAATGAGAGCAACTCGGAAATCGGAGTACACAGGCCCATGACCTTTGAAAGATCTGAAAGCGGCCCCATCAGAGCAGTCTAATTCGTCACGAAACATGATCAGCAGGTAAATATATCTAGCGGCGCGATATCTTCGATAATTGGCAGCTCGGACTTCCGCTCCATCTTCCGAATCTACCTCTTTAATCCCATTCCAAAAATATAAAAAACTTTCTCGTCAACACAAGTAGGTTGAATATACACTAGGCCAATTTAAGACAAAATCTTTCGGTATGTCATTTTGCCCGAGCCTGGTTGTCGTCAAAATGGTAAACAAAAATGTGAGCGGACAACCTCTTGCTTCATAGTCTACGCCAATAAACTTATTTTTACCGATAGTCTGCTGCCGGTAAAATATAATGGACAGTGAACATTTCGCCGAAGCTGAGTTGTGAAACAAAGGTAGCTGATTCAATCTAGATAAGTGCCGTTGAAGTACATTTTGCGATTTATAATAGCAGTTGAGCTGTTGACGTAGTACCGAAAATAAGTCCAATATTATTCAGCAAACATTGTTAAATAGGGTGTATGAGGTAACAAGAGCCTTAGGTTCTAGTAATGGCACTGTCAACATTCTAATGAGTCCAAACATACTAATAATTCCGGTTTTTGACGTTCAATTCAAGTCTGGCGATTTCAAACATGAAACAATGGGGGCCTGGCAGAAAGAGTTCACTTGGGTAGAGCCGTTCGCAGTTATGAAAGTAAATACCACGGGCAGTGATGTAATATCCTACAGGAAAGTTCTATCAACTACTGCAAACGACTAATTGCCTTTCATGCCTAGGCTCCGAAACTGTCTTGCCAAAAAAGCTGTTATAGGGTATTTTATAGCTTTACAATTGTATGTGTTTGTGCACAGAAATGTTTCAACGAACAAAAAGATAGTTCTCTTTATACGAAGAAGTAACCTCGCACCTAAATGCAAGATTGTTATACAGCTAGCAAGATATGCAGAAACGTATCGGCAAAACGAACAAAACAGCCCCACAGACTGGGTGTGGTCAGTAGAAAATCAAACAAATTGATGTATAAGACAACGATTGGAAATGTGAACATAGGCGCACGTTAACATTAAAAAATGTACCTAAAGCAAAATAGCGCGTTGGCAGGCGAGATAACACTACAAGAACAGTGTTTTTTGATGCAAAAGAATAAAGTTATTGAGGATAGTTCCAACAGCGGCGCTAAAAATAACGCGGAAAGCTAGCAAACCTAGAAGCCAAACTGCCCAAACATGCAACCGTTCTACTGCTAGGTATCGAGAACGTACGGAGTGAGCTAGTGTCTGTTCCTTTAAAATATGTTTGAAAAGTGAAACTACAAACAATGCTTTCGTCCTCCGCGAATAAATTTTCTGCGCTGGATAATTGCTACATATGAAAGCCAGCTTCCGGTCCAAAAATTATTGCGCACTAAATAAAAACGCAAAGGCATCAATTTCAAAAATTCCTTCAAAATTCAATTTGTATTGACTACGTCACTTTTAGGTGCAAATCAGCTGCTTCCTCCATGTCACTACGCTGTTCTAAGTACTCAATATTAGTGTTTGGGGAGCGCTACTGGAGCAAAATCCACATTTTTCGATAAATGCCCGAATTCCTAGGGGCAAATTGTAGGTTCGTCACATAAAGTTCCGACACAAGTCTTACTTTCAGACTTCGTAAGTCGAAGTCATTACAGCTGGTGAATGTGTGACACCGGTGAAGTTAACGCGAAGGCCTAGGACTAAGTTTCCATTTTAACTTTACATGGGTCTTCCGAGATCTACGTACGAAGTTTAAGCCGACCTGAGACATTAATTTTATCCGCGAAAATGACGAACATCAGGAAAAGTGATTTCCGTAACCGATCGGTGAGCGCCTATGTACTATGGCGCAACAAACCGCCTTTTTTTGGTATCAACATAGGACGATATTTCGTCAAAATGAAGATAAAAATGGAGCAAAAAGCGCATGAAATAGCGATCGAAACCTTAACAGGTTTAATGCAAGCCAGGTAGATCAAAAGCACGCCCGACTGCTATGCGGGGCCTGGAAGGCAATAGGCAAGCAGAAAAGAGTAGAAAGGCTCAAATGAAAAGGCTATATTTCAGAAAAAGTTTCGTCACCAGAAAGTACATTGGTCATGGGATCTTCGGGAAAGGGAGAAGAAAAATTTCCAGAGCTTACAGGCTATCGGATAGGTGTCCCCGAATAAAAGGCAAGCCGGTACTAACCTCGTGTTGGTAACGGCGATATGCATCACCAAAAAATCGAATAAGGCTAGCTTCTTCGTTGTCGACCCTGTCTCTGAAGAATGCGTAGGCCGCTATAGGATAAGCGATTGAGCAGACTGGGTTTAAGAGTAACAACTGAGTTCCCAAGCTCCAGTAGAACCAACCAACATAGGCTGGATGTCGAAACCAGCCATAGACACCATGACGCACAAGTTCGTGTTCGGTCGTTCTTACATGCTGAACTACGTGAGAGAAGTTTCGTGCTGCAGTAAACATGGCGACCTTTCGCAAGACTTCTCCGGAAACACAGAGGAACAGACCAAACAGATTAATAAAGACAAATGAAGTGCTCTTTGTTGGCCACAACCAGACCTCCAGAAAATACTCAGTAAAACTAGCGGCGGCGGCAAGCAGATACTCTGGACTATGATTTAACATATAGAGGTCAACTGAGATGGCTTCGGGTTTCGTTAAGGAAACAGTGAAAAACTCTGACCAGTGAAAGAATGTCAGGAAGCATAAGTATAGGCCAAATGGCCACATAGTCTTGGGAACAGGATGATATAAGGATTGTAAACAAATGACAACGCCTAGGCCGAAAACAACTCCCAGGCCATATGCACAATTAAGGTTTTCCTGATAAAGTGGAGGAATGGAGGTGCGTTGAGATTGATCAATACTAAAGGAAGAATGGGCGTATCTTATTAATAAAGGGCAAAACACACAGGCTAGAAAGGCATAAAAGCACGATATGATTATGCAGACTGCCAGAAGAGTCTGTAGAGAGAAGAACGGAAACTGAAGCAAATAAAAGAGAAAATTGCCAATGACGCCGAAGACAAAGGCCAGAAGGGAAATTTGGGAGTGACAGGAGGCCTCGCCTTGGTACTCTTCGGTTATTGGTCGAATACCGAATCGAAGAGCCTTAAATGAAAAGCAACAACAGTATTATTGCAGTCGTCTTAGAACCACCAACCAGTACAACATTTGTTAGTTTAACAGGTAGCATTCAAATGCGATAATTATATAAAACTTAAAAAGATACAGAGCAGAAAAGTACAGAAAAAAGACGCATTTCCAAGTCGGGCAGACAAATAGCACTGAACGTAGAACTAAGTATTTGCACAGCATAGCATCAGAAAAAATAATAAAGGTGATGGTTGCCAGCAACTATAGTAACGAGCAAGAGTTCTACATGACCATAAAATATGTTATTTTTTAGAATGTGGAAAGGGGAGAGGGTTTGGTTGTTGGTGCGCGCTCACACTACTTCGACACGGGCTTCCATTTCAGAAACAGGGTGTTTTCAGCAAGTGCAAACTAACATGGTCCTAATAGGTTTTATGCGAAGAAAAACATCCTGGGTTATATTTGAATGGTTTAAAAAGACCAAGTAATTACAATATACTTCAGAGATAAAATGAAAGCAATACATGCGGCAGAAAGCATCACTGGCTGGCACTGAAGGTAAAAGAAATCCAAAAAGACACAGACCGGAATGAACTTTGCAACTGTCAAAGCAGTGTAAGATGCTAACCCAGTGAGCACAGCTATCCTGTGGTTGGAAAAGTCAAAGATTATGGGGCATGAGCTTGAAAAAATTACGGAAACATTTTAAAGTGTAGATAGAGCGTAGCTGCTGGCTACCTGATGCGTTCGGAGGCGGTGAGTAGTTAAGTGGTGCTGGAAGCAGCTAAGTCGTGAACTAAGGAAGCCCTTAAATCTGATGAATTTACAGCTTAAGCTATCAGGGCGCAGAAAGGTGATACTTAGAACCATGTAAAATGTCATGAGGCCTGATGAAAACATTGACGCAACAACAGCGAAACTCCAAAATATATTTTCTTATCATTATTGACTTAAGGCTGGTGTCGTCATCACAATAAATAGAACCGCGCGATTCAGTATGAGTCAAACAGACGAGGATTTAGCATTAATGAGTACCCAGAATTGGACTTTATTCATCTTACAATTGGGGTATTAGAACTGAAAAGGAGATTGAGAACGGCCAGAGTAATATAGGAAGTAAGTGAATATTTTTCAGGCGCAGGAATGAATGATCGTCAACGGCGGTCAGAGAAATGTAAGCATGGCAGCTGGTTTTCTTAGCCCAAGCACGTGAGGCAACAACCCCATACAAACAATCCGAGCAGATGACTACCTTCATCCGATACATACTACGGCGACAGCTAAGAGTGACGGGCTCGACAGCCTTAGTTAGGTGCGGAGGAATACTCCGCGGGCGGAACTACTTAATTTGGAACGAAAACTCGAAATTAGGTGTTGAAATACGAGGATGCTTCTTCGGATCTGGTGCCTAAATGACCATAACGCGCAGACCTCAGGTATGTGATCTGGTGTACATGCGGACTACATACCCTAATTCGGATGTTCAGAAAGACAATTTGGCGAGGGAAATCCCGTTGCATTATAGATCACGGCGAATCACACAAAGTTTTAATAAGGACGGTATGGTGGTCGCCCTCCCACAAAGATCGAACAAAGTGTTGCTTGCGTAGGAGTCAACGTCAGACTAGCCTACGCATGCTTGAAAGGGTTAAATACTAGTGTTTATGACGTTTTTGACTACGTAACACTATTATATACCGGCCGACACGATAAAGAAACTTATTCGGAGATGGTTGAAAGATTCGTCGTAATCTGTTGACTATCGTCGGTGACTAGATTATCAGATTGGGTCAGACAAATCTCCAGTCAACTTAGTAACCGACTAGGGCTTAGTTACTGATGCGACAATCGTGCGAGAATTCGGGAAGAACCAACTAGTTTTTATTATGACTTGCCTCCAGTATCGCCTCCAGCATCGCTAACGGGGTATTCAATCGAGTCATACGACTACTCAAATTGACTATAACATACTCAGTCCAAAATTTCCTGGCTGGATTAATGATAACAGATCAATGCATGATACTAAATTGACAAAACTTATGGGTCAGAATACGTTTTCTTTCATGCATACCTGAAAGTTCACTTATCATCTACGCATAAAATGTTTCGTATATGACACGTAGACGTTCTAAAATTACGACAGGGTCCGGGTCTGAGCAAAGAAGGCCGGTCTCGACTTGA